CGTTTATTAGTTTTGGACTACTTGTCCACCGCCCCCTTTTTTATCCCCTCCCTTTTTTAAAATTCGATATCTTAGAGTAACGAAAGTGATGTCAAGCAAGTGTCGATAACACGAGTTTTGAGAAGGTGGTCAGTGGAATATGTGTCCTTGAGCAAGACACGACAACCCAAGCTTTAAAAAAACCCACAGGGCGCTCCACAGAAGCGACCGGCAATGGTATGGTTGTGAAATTGTCATGTGTTGGTGTAATATTGCGCATTTATGTATTTATTTGTGTATGTATTTATGTATGTAAAGTAAAGTTGTTCCAGCATCCGATCTGGACATTGGGGATTGCCTTGTTAATGAGACAGCTTCCTGGGCCTTCGGTATATTGTGGTAGGGTGGCCAGTTCCTTTCCACGCCGCCTTTACTTCCCCAACTCGAAGTCAGGTACCCATTACTGCTGGATGGGCAGGAGCGGGCGAAAAAAATCCGTGTCCGAACCGAGGCTCGAACCCGGACTTTCCGCTTCGGAGACAGCACACTAACCGTTCCGCCACCGCACCCTCATTTATGTATGTATTGTGTTTATAAATATATAGTTATGCATGTACTCGTATGTATGTTTGTATGTATGTTTGCCATTGTAAACCAAATTGCCCTTCTGGGATCAATAAAAGAGTTATTTATTTAATTATTTTAACTTTAATGTCTAAAACGAACCATTTCTTCTGTCACCCCCTCAGTCCCAGGGCCCAAGTACACTCTTCCCCCCTTAATCGGCACCAACAACCATGACCCGACCAGAGAGAAGGCGCCAGGCTACTCAATGGCTGGAAAACGAACATGTAAGTTGCACCAAGGAGGTTATCATTCATAGTTTGTTCTTTAATGTCTTTGACGTTACACCCATAGATTTAATAACAGGTGCCCCTTGCGGATGGAATGGGGTCGGCGCGCGTTTGTTTTTGAGGCGACGAGTCGGGAGCCATTGGCTTGTGCCACGATAGCCATTTTGAGCCCTCAATCTGACTAGCAAACCGACCCGACCCGACCCGACCCGACCCGATTCCCCAATGGGCACTCCGTATAAATCACATCATCCTTGATCGAGCAGCGTCATGGCTGATGCTCTTATCTCTCTATAAAAATTCGATGCAAAACCAGTCTCGTTATAGCCGGGTGTGCGCGGCAGCTCCCCCCCCCCCCTTTTTTTTTTTGTTTGTAAGTATTTTACGGCGCCCGCAACTGTTTAAGTGCATATTAGCGCGCGGGACACATTAAACATTTTCAATTGGTAGGACATTTTGAATTTTGCCCGGGTGGCGGCTGAAGCCTACTCTTATCGATTTTAGATCACCAAGGGCCTGAGGTCTCTTTAACGTGCGCAACTTGCACACGGAACCTCTGAGATTTTTCGCCCTTGACCGAGAAGGCTTGGTGTAGAAGGTCAGGGAAGTGGCTGAAAGACAGCAGTAAGAAGGAACCAAGGAGAAGCAGTAGAAATGCTGCGGAAAGAGTCAGGAGCCCAGAGGAAGGAGCAAAGGAGGTGAGGGGGTGGGGGCCGAAAGTAGAGACAAAAGCAGAAGACAGAACATTGCTAGAGAGCAGGAAAGGAGGTGAAAGGAGACATTAATTTGAGAGAAGAAAATGTTTCGTCTCTATCCGGATTTGAACCCAGAACCTTTGGATGAGAGGCGAACACCTTAACCTCTAGGCCACGAGGTCCCCGTCGTGTAGTGAAAATAAATTGCGCCTTTGTCGAAACAATGTTACTCTATAAGGAAGAGGGCTGATTCTATCCTGACTATCAGGGTCAACCCGGGTTAAATAAGATAAAACAGCCATTCAGACTTACGTAGGTACTTGATGGACCCCC